CATATAATATTTAATCTCAGTCGGATTTTCCACCTTAGGAATTAATGGGGCATGGGCATCAGCCCACATAACACCAAGCCAAGCAATTAAACTCGGCCTGAAATATAGCCACAAATACATGAATGTTACCGAGCACAAAGGGCAAGAATCACCCTACCCCCATACACACCCTATGAAGGTCTCTATGAAACACGGAAAATGCAATACTATTCTAATAAAAAAGGGGTTTACCCTTACAACCTAAGTACTAATGAAAAACCCAGAAGGGGAAATCATGAACCAGTCCAGAGTCCAACTATATAAACTGGTTATAACCTAACTCGAAAGGTAAGGCATAAAAACCATTTACAATTCTATTACACTCAATATTGAAGCACCAAATATGAATTCTAACTGAGGCATTGGAGAGCAATATCGGGGGTCCAACCTTAGTATGGCTTTCTAACCTATATTTATCATACATCATGCAGCGTGTTACCTGGAATGGTCATTGGAAGAAGCTCTCAAGGAGGTAACCACACAACATTCGGGATAACACGTAGCAACATTGGTGCCATTTGTATATAACCATACAAGAAAATGCACAATCATCTCGTTCAACCAACGAAACACCATTTAGCTTGATCAAATTAATCCCTGCTTTCACACCAACTATGTCGGCAATTTAGGCCGCCGAACCACAACTTCACAACACACCTCCGTCCCAACCAACCACACATAATGACACAAAATCCAACGAACGAGCAGCAGGAAGAGCCAAAAAAGCTAGCCAGGAAAAATCAGTCACGATGGAAACAATCAGTGGTTCAATCACAGCAGGAGGAAGCACGTCTAGAGGACCAACAAGACTTACAACAAAAAAACAAAGAATTCGTGATGCAAATGTTGCCACCTTTGCAGAAGTAGCACCTCGTGACCAGTCTTGGAGCCAACCACGATATGCAGCCTTACACACCATTATCGCCACCTTTCCCGTTCACACATCATCAGGTATATTGGCCGCCTCAGTACCAACAAGCGTATACCCTGCAACTTTCCCCAAAAGGACAAGCCACACCTCAAAAACCACAAACCACAAAACCTGTGTGTCATTAAGACAATGGTACAACTGACAGATGGGTCTTACGAGAAAATAATTCACCGCTAGTAAGAAGCATAAGAGAATATCAATTACCAGTCGGAGCAAAAATACAAGAAATCACAAAATAAGATGGAACAGGTGATCCTGCCGATCACATAGAACACTATAGGTGGACAATGGACGCTTACTAACTTGATGAAAAATATTGGTGTATTTTCTTCCCAACCACCCTATCGGGAGCAACTCGATTATGGTATAAAATCTTGCCGACAGAGAGTATATGAGATTTCAATTCATTACCGGAAGAATTCGTAGGGTACTTCATATTACAAAGAATATACATGGCAGATGCACAAGCCATCTTGGGGTGCAGATAGCGGGAGGACGAATCTATAAGTGCTTTCGTATAACGATTTAACAAAACCGCACTCAACACCTCGGAGAAATCAAGCAGCATGGTAATTTCCTCCTTGACTTAGTCTAGGACCAGGGACCCTGTTTAAGAAGTTAGTAGGTAAGCAACCATCTTCCAGAAAAGAAATGATGGAAAGGGTTTACCGATACATGAAGCAATTGGACGCATCATTTGAAAAGATAAAAACCGATCAATGAGAAAGAGCACCCCTAGTACCATATACCAGAGGAAACACATCCGAGAACGTGAAACACCAAGACATAAGACAAACTCTCTTCCATAGTTTTCCACAATCCAATCGTAATATGCCATCAACCCGAAATGGTCCTCGGAATGTAGTCATTTCAATAAGAGAAAGCAAGAAGAATACAACACACAAAAAGGTGAAAAATACAAGAAACAAAGATGAAGGGTGATATTGCAAATTCCACATCCACAGGCATGACACCATCGAATGCACTATGTTGGGGTAAGAACAGGAAAACAAGATGCAACCAGGACAACTTACTGACCTAATCAAAGCCCTCCAATCTAAGCATTTAGAAAGCATTGCACTAGTAGAACTAAAAATCCCAAACGCAAGGAAAAAAATGAAATCTTCATGCTACAACATTTTGACCGAAAAGAGTTAACCACATAATGGGAAAATTGCACCTTCACGTTCGACAAGTGGGATTATAGTCACGACCACCATAGAGGAGATGAACCAATCATAATCAGCAGCCTCATGGGACAAAACTACACAACTGATATCTATGTTGATAGTGGAAGTTCCACAGATTCCACGTACAAGAGCCTTTTCAAGCAAATACCCGGACACATGCAAGCAATAGCGAATCCGCCAGGGAATCACCTGGTAAGATTCGTCGGACACAACGTATGGCCAAAAGGACATTACTATTAACCCTTATCAATTATCATAATGGTAGGAATAGTACTAACTAATATGTTTTGTCATCATAAACACACCCACACCATACAACATCATCTTTGGACGAACGACGATACACAAGTTTAAAGCCATTGCGTTAAAGATTGCCACCCAACAAATACCACATAACAACCAAGAACCATCAGACAAATGAATATAAGAAAATGAATGCCTCACACAAGCATTGCAACTATTAGAGAACAAAGCATCATGACACACTATCAAAGGTAGCACGTTGGTAATCGTTAGACGACATAAATGGACAATAAAAATCGTGTCAGCCATGATGTCGGTGAGAATGCAAGCACCAACAAGGCAACAAGAAGAAGTAAAGGGAATATGAGACAACATAATGAGATGCACAAGGGCCATGGATAAAGAGATATATGAGGGGACGTTAGGTAAAAAAGGAGAGAAAAGACAAGCCAGGAAAGACAGGACAACCAGAAAGAAAAGGGATCGTCACAGACACAAAGGGACAAAACGTCTAACCGATATATACAATGGAAGCCAGAGGACAGAAGCTCAGTTACCGATAGAAGCTAAAGGAATGAAGAGGTCACTAATAGAGATACCAACATGGGGATTCAAGAAAGCTAGAATAGTAAGTGGGGAAGCAGCAAGGTCCATAATTGGCTAAGGAAGAAAGTAAGAAGGCACATGACATATGTGCTCGATTGCAGTTAAACAACAACAAACTATTAAAAGCATGTTGTAGGAAAAACATCCAAAGTTACCATCGTTCTTTCATAATAAATGAAAACTTAGGAAATCATGAAGGTCCAAGAATATCTTTATTCTTCATATGTATTGTAGCTTGGCCTACCGACTACAACTTTACAAAGGTTGAAGTTCAAAACTCCGACCTAAGCTACTTGCTTAGCTCATGAATATCTTTATTCTTCATAAATATTATAGCTAGGTCTGTCGACTACAACTTTACAGAGGTCGATGTTCAAAATTCTGACCTAGGCTACCTGCTTAGCCCCAGGGCCGGTCTAAACGTACATGGGGCCCGGGATGAACAGAAAAAAAGGGCCCCTTAAAGACAAATATAATAAATATTCAAAAAAAATATCATTTATTCTTCACTATAAACGCATTCAATTAGCAATAACAAGCAAGCCAAATTGTTTATCTTTTGAGCTAGTTTGAGTTTGAACCAACTTTAGACCCTAAAAACCATTTAGGTAATAATTTTTTTTATATATACACCACATAACCCAGAAAATTTGGGCCCCCAGGACACGTGGGCCCTGGGCGGTCGCCCGGGTTGCCCACCGTCTGGACCAGCCCTGCTTAGCCCAAGAATATCTTTATTCTTCATGAATATTGTAGTTCAAAACTCTGACCTAGGCTACCTTCTTAGCCTAATAATATCTTTATTCCTCAAAAATATTGTAGCTCGACCTGTCGACTACAACTTTGTAGAGGTCGAGGTTGGAACTCTGACCTAGCCTACCTGTTTAACCCAACAATATCTTTATTCTTCATAAATATTGTAGCTCGGCCTGCCTATTACAACTTTTCAGAGGTCGAGATTCAAAACTCCGACCTAGGATACCTACTTAGCCCAAGAATATCTTTATTGTTCATAAACTTTGTAGATCGACTAGCAACTACAACTTTACAAAAGGTCGAAGTTCAAAACTCTGACCTAGGCTACCTGCTTAACCCAAGAATATATTTATTCTTCATAAACTTTGTAGCTCGGCCAGCCGACTACAACTTTACAAAAGATCGAAGTCCAAAACTCCGACCTAGGCTACCTACTTAGCCCAAGAATATCCTAATTCTTCATAAACTTTGTAGCTTAGTCATGCCGACTACAACTTCACAAAGGTCGAAGTTCACAACTCCGACCTAGGCTAGCTACTTAGCCCAAGAAAACCCATATTCTACTTAAATCGTACAACTCTACCAGTCGATCACAATTTTACGAAAACTAAAAATTTGAAACCATGGCCTAGGATACACGTTTGATTCAAAGAACACCAGGGGGATCAAGCAAACTACACCAACTGAAACAAAATACTAAAGAGATCTCAGACGGAAACCCTCAAAATATCACAAAACACAAGAAACAAAACACGAGAGGAAAATTATAATCCCAAAACACAAATAAATGGCTATCACATAGACAACCAATACAAGCTACTATAATCTTAAAAAGTGAGCACACACAACCATGCAAATATATGATCAAACCACAACCATCTCACACCCCAAGCATCCGTACAAAGAAAAATTCGTTCCTTACAACATACCCAACACAGAACAATCACAAAATAAGAAAAGCCAATATCCCAGTTACGTCAAGATCTAAACTATCCATCATTAGGAATATGGAAAACAGTTACAACTAAATCATGCAACTCGTGCCAAATTACATCACAACAACGTTCAAGATCCACCACTACCTGCACCTCTCGTAGAGCCCCACCATCATCCGAAGGACCCACCAACGAATGCAACTACCCATTATCTGTTAAAGGAAAACCAATTTCAGACTAGTAATCAACACAAAATAAAGTAGAAAACGCTTCCTCCATCTTTTGCACATGTGTAGCATCCTATAGAGGAATGTCAGTCTCACTCAATCCCAGATTGTGCTCTGCATTTACCATCTCAAAACCAGATCTCCTGCCAAAGTCAACACAAATGGTTTGAAGATAGCAGTTAGCCTCGAAGAAGGACAAATCAACGATAAGTTTTCCCACCAGTTTCGAGATTCCATGTGACAAAACCCAAGAGACATCCTCAATCACCTTGCTTAACTGATTCTCCAACCAAACCACAATCGCATGCAAATCTATGTTCCAGAGGGAAGACTCATTCAAGTCGCCTTTTAACTTCCGAACAACATGCTCTAACATAGCTATCTTATCCACGAAACCGATATTCTATAACTCAAGAGATGCTACAGTTGCCTTTAGCATGAATACCTCTTCGAAAACATATTGATAGCCGGCTAACTTACTCTCCAGGAGAGCTTTCTCACTTTGGACAACAAACAGTTCACCCTTAACCTAATCCATCTCTATCCGAGAAATCATTTCCACACTCAGAGAAACCTTCTCTAACTTAGAAACCTTGTCGAAAGGCTTTACATATTGGTTGTGAAACGATTGTACATTATGGGAAACACCACCGAAAAAACCACAAACGGATTCACAAGCTCAGATATCTTTTTAAATTCACCCTGAAGGCCACGATTCTCTAGATGCAATGTCTTATTCTCATCAAGCCATAAGAAAACTTCCTGACCTAGAACTATGTTTTCAACAAGATTTTTCTTGTACATATCCTGAATTTTCTCTCTAATACCTTGCTTGACACTTGAGCGAGTTCCCGAAGAAGCAAAAATCTCAAAGAAAGAAATGGAAACCTTTGGCGCCATTAAACTTTACTCCCGCCTATACTCCCAAGAAGAAACATAAATAGGACCGGATGGGTGAGGAGCATTGGCATCACGAGCAGGGCTGTTTACATTCAGTTGAGTGATGTACACTGAAGGACGACCCACATAAAGGCTATTAGCAAAAGAATGGAAAGCACCGGAGTGAAGGGAACGAGACCTCTTGAGAACCCTACCACTACTACATTCCCTACCAGCCAGAACAGCTGCCAAAGCGGCTAAAGAAATAGAGTCCCTACCTCTCTTCCAATGGACTAAAGGTTGTTCATCACTCCTATCATCACCATCATCGTCAAAAATAGTCACAAGATCAGTGGAAACCGGTGGAGTATGACCATCGTTTGTATCATCATAAGAGTCATGTACCTTAACTGATAATTCTGAATCCTTGTCTTTTTCATTCTGGGTATTACTACCACTATAATTAAAGCTATCATCGATAAGTGGGAGGTTAAAATCAACAAAGCCCAGATCTCGTGCTACAACTTTACTCTCCATAAAAGCAGACAACAAAACTAGTAACCGACCACCATCTACATAAATCAAACATGGGATCAATACACACAAATAAAGCAAGATTCGGTAACATTTATAGAAGCACATACTTGGACCATGGACAAACAAAGTGGGAATAACACCAAGACGCAACCAATACTGACTCATGCCAACTTGCGCCAATACAACTTCAGGGAACTTTTTCATCTTTACATTGAGAGATCTTATTTATATCTTGGCCCAAGTCACTAGTCCTATTAAGCTTTTGGTCATTAATTTTCCCAGGAAGGTGAAATTCGTTTCGTTACGGGAAGCAATAAGAATTCAACCAGATAAATTCGTTTTTCCAAAAAAAAATTGCAATCAAGAAGACCCTCGATAAAACTTTGATCCCTTGATCAAAAGTAATACAAATTCCCATTACTACAAATACAGAAAAATCACTAGAACAAAGCAATAGTGTGAAGAACAAAAGATGCATGGCAGAGCAATTCAAAACAGATAACCTTCAAAATCGAATTAGGTTGTAGTTGACAAGTGTAAATCCTACACGCTTCAATAATCAAACCAAAGAACGAAGACAGAGGTACACGAAGAACGGCTTCAAAGTAGTAAAGATAGAAACCAACCTTACCTAATGGGAGGGCAATCCATAACTGCATCTGGAGCAGGAAGGGGTGCACCATCCACATCAAGATGATGGTACCTAGCAAAAACCCGGTGTACTGGGACTAATTTAATAGTCTAGCTGTTATTATTATTATATAAGCGTTAAACAACACTATATAACTCATAATAACAGTCCAAATAATTATTTTAAGGTCCTAATAATGTTACTATAATTAATTAGAAGCTATATTAAAAATAACGTAGGCGTGGCTCACTTACAACGGGTTTTATCGGAAACTGGGCTTTGCTGGAGCAGCGTTCCCGAGCCGAAAGACTCCTCCTCTCAGAGCTTCCCGGTGCTCCGGGACTTAATTCTAACACCTTGGAGGTGCTAGGGAAAAACCTTGAAGGTTTGGGGGTATTTGGGAGGAGAGAAGTGGAGAGTTGTGAAGAAAATGGGAGATTTGCGCCTCTATTTATAGGCTGCCAGCGCCGAGTACGCCGAACGTACTAAAAAATTACGCTAAGCGTAATGGTTACGCTGAGCGTAATCAAAATTATGTTGGGCGTAATGTGCCACGTGTCACCATCTAGTGGCTAGCCTTGGGGAGGAAGCAACGGTTGTGATCGCGTCACGTCACCCAAACTCGCACAGCACCCTCCCGATTTAGAAAATTCATAACTTTCGCATACGATCTCTGTTTTCGACGTTCTTTATATCCCGCGAAGGCAGGAATGTACTCTACAACTTTCGTTTAGACTCCGTTGGCTAATTTTGACTTTATTTTAAATTTTATATTTTTAACAGGCCGGGACAGGATTGGTCCGTTAAAAATTCATAACTTCTTCATCTGACGTCCGTTTTTGTCTGTCTTTTTATCGTTATACTACAAATAACGAGATCTTCAATTCTAGTTTAGGTTGTGTTGGCTAAAAACCGCTCGATCTAATATTCGATTTTCAGGTTGTACACCGCTAAGCTGAAACTTCGAAAAATCATAACTTCTTCATACGAAGTCAGATTTGGGCGTTCTTTTTATGGACGCTCTCGGTTTAACGTATTCTATGACTTACATTTAGATCGCTAAGGCTAAAACTCTCTCTATCATAAATTTACTATTTACGCTTCCCAGTGTCATGTCGGTTGCGTCGCGAAACTTCGACGGGTCGTAACTTCTTCGTTATAACTCGGATTTCGGCGTTCTTTATATGTACGGAAACCTTGTGACATATAGTACAACTTGGTTCAAATTATTTATTCTAAATAATCTTTTGTCGAAAAGTCGTTTTCGACACTTATTGCCTCTAAATTGACTAGCCCGGATCTACAGGAGTTACACACTCTCTCTCTATATATATATAACTCTTTGAATGGGTAAAAGATCATTTTACCCCTCCATTGTTGACATAATCCTTGTCTTAACCAAACCCTAAGGTCAACAGAAGTCAACACTCAAGTCAACAGTCCATGTTGAATTAACTCGTCAAGTGCATCTATGTGACTCATTGAGTCCCCTTGTTTCTTCTAAAATATCACGAGCATCCAATTTAACTCATCAAGTTGTCTCATCAACTCGCCGAGTTACCCATGTCCAAACTTATCAAGGGAAAACCCTATCCGAATCGTCGAGTCCCTTAAGTCAGTTTCTTATTCAGATGTTTTAAGGCACATCTACCACTCCATACTCTAGATCTAGGCTCCCAAGGTTTGAATTTCACGTAAAGCTTCGATCTTTACGTTCATGCATAGCACATTTTTCTCCAACATGCCAATACAACTCTAACAAAGGGGTTTAAGCACAATAACTCTTATATGGATGAATAAAGTTGGGAACTTTAGACTCTATGGACCTCACAAGGTCCAGATCTGAAGTCTAGACCTCCTAATAGACTCCGTGCACTCATTGTCCCAATAAAAGGTGGTAAAGTCCCTAACTTCCATACTCAAGAGATCCAACTAATAAGATGAGAAAGGTGCAAGCTTTTAACCTTCCATAGAAGCTCCAAGTGAAAGAATGCTAGATCCCATCGCCTCTCCTCGTTCCTTGCTTGTATCTCACTCCTTTCCTTCTAAAAGATCCACCAAAACACTCAATATTAGCTCACACACTCTTTCTTAGCTCAATGGTCGATTAGGGTTTCACACAGGGGAGTTGGGCAGCTGGTGAGGCGGAAATGAGGACATAAATTTCCTTAAAGATGCCCCAAACCCAGGGATTTAGGTTTTCAACTAGCAGCACCTACTCGGCGAGTCGGCTCTCTAACTCGTGGAGTCGGTTTTTAAATCCACGTGGCCAATAAATCTCTACTCGACGAGTTGCGGCACCAACTAGTCGAGTTGGTCAATAGATCTCAAAAGTAAATAAATAAAAGGATAATGTACCTGGGAGCCCAGATGTTACAATTCTCCCCCACTAGAATCAGACTCCGCCTTCGAAGTCATGCTCCGGAAACAACTCTGGGTACTGCTCTCGCATCTCAAACTCTGGCTCCCAAGTCAACTCGGACCCCTTCCAATGTTGCCACTGGACCTGAACCAGGGGCATCTCTTTGTTCCTCGGAACCTTCACTTTCCGATACAAGATCACAATTGGCCTCTCAATATAGTTCATGATCGTATCCACCTGAATATCATCTAATGGCACCACTACTGTCTCATCGGCTACACACGTCCTCAGCTGGGACATGTGGAAGGTGTTATGGATCTAACTCAACTCTACACGTAGCTCCAACCGGTATGCTACCTTACCCACTCTGGCGGTCACTATGAAAGGACCGATGTATCGGGGACCCAATTTGCCATGTTTCCTGAATCGGATCACCCATTTCTATGGGGATACCTTCAGGATGATGAAATCTCCCACCTGGAACTCTAGGTCGGATCATCGCCTGTTTTCATAACTATGATGGCAACAGTGGGTTGTTAGTAGCCTCTGCCTGACTTGTTGAATCTGCTCGGTCGTCTTTAGCACTATCTTAGTGCCACCCATCACTCTCTGCTCTACCTCTCCCCAACAGATGGGAGTACCACACCTCCTCCCATATAGAAGCTCAAAGGGAGGCATACCAATACTCGAATGGTGGCTGTTGTTGTAAGAAAACACAGCCAAGGGCAAATAAGTGTCCCAACTTCCTACGAAGTCCATAACACATGCGCGCATCATGTCCTAAAGCATCTGAATTGTCTGCTCCCTCTGCCCGTCTGTCTGCAGGTGGTATGCAGTACTAAAATGCAAACATGTACCCAACTACTTGTGAAAATTCTTCTAGAACCTGGAAGTAAAACACCCATCTCGATCTGACACTATCGAGGTTGGCACTCTATGTTGTACTACCACCTCTCTCACATAAATCTCATCTAGTTTCTCTGCATAAGAGGTACTTCAGGCTCTTGTGCCTCATATTCAGGTTGGGCTGATCCATGAGGTACTTCAGGCTCTTGTGGTCAGTGTATATGGTACACCGGACCTCGTACAGATAGTGGTGCCAAATATTGAGGGTGAACATCACCGCCCCCAGCTCCAGATCATGGGTGGGATACATCATCTCATAAGGCTTCAACTGCCTCGATGCGTATGCGATCACATGCTCCCTCTGCATCAACACCGCACCCATCCCTGATATGGATGCATCACAGTATACTACAAAGTCCTCTACCCCCTCGGGAAGCGCTAACATTGGGGCTTCACACAGTCTCTGGTGAACAGTCTCAAATAAGAGACCTGCTGCTCAGGCCCCTAAAAAAAAGTTACACCCTTCCAAGAAATAGACCTCTCATAACCAGAAACCACACTTGGAGAATTTGGCATAAAGCCTCTACGTCCACAAAACTCCAAGAATCTCTCTAAGATGCTCCTCGTGCTGCTCTGTAGATCTCGAATACACCAGGATATCGTCGATGAACACAATCACCAATCGATCCAACATAGGCTTGCACACCCGGTTCATGAGGTCCATGAATGGTGTCGGTGCGTTGGTGAGCCCGAAAGGCATCACCACAAACTTGTAGTGTCCATAACGAGTCCTAAAGGCCTTCTTCTGGATATCCTCCTCGTAGACTCTCATCTGATGATATCCAGACCTCAAATCAATCTTGGAAAACCAAGACGCCCCCTACAACTGATCGAACAGATCGTTAATCCTCGGTAGTGGATAACGGTTCTTAACCATCAGCTTGTTCAACTCCCGATAATCAACGTACATCCAGTATGAACCATCCTTTTTCTTGAAAAAAAAGATCGGTGCTCCCTACGGCAAGCTACTTGGCCTGATAAAACCCTTCCCCAGCAAATCTTGGAGCTGTGCGGATAACTCTTGCATCTCTGGTGTTGCAAGGCGATAAGGTTCCCTGGCAATATGCGTCGCTCCGGGAACCAAATCGACCCGGAACTACACCTTCCTCTTGAGAGGAACACCCAGCAACTCCTTGGGAAAAACATCAAGAAACTCGCACACTATCAGAACCTCAGCGATAGAACTCGACCTCTCTGTGGCAACCCACGTATCCATCACATACTCCAAAAAGCCCATACAACCCTACTGTAGACTCTGTCTCGCTCTGGCAGCAGAACAGAAAGTTGATCCAGATCTAGTACCCT